AAAATCAAAAAAAAAAAAAGAAAAAAGAAAAAAAAGGAAAAAAAATAACGACACAAACGAAAAAATATTTTACACGACTTTAAAAATAATACCGTTTTGTTATTATTGTTTTGTTTGTATATATAGTATAATTCGTTTAATCTTCTAATTCTTCCATTATTTGTTTTGTTTATATATATATATATATATATATATATATATATATTGTTTCTCTATTTAATATTAAAAGAAAAATAATTTCACATATAACATCTTCTAATTACGATAGCAATTAATTTTCATATTTCTCCGTTCTCTCTCTCTCTTTCTCTCTCTCTCTCCTCCCCTCTCCCTCACTCCCTCACTCATTCATTCTCTTTCGCTTTAATCTCGACTTCAATGTCAAAGAAAAACGAAGTATTTTTCGTTCAAAAGTTTCACCCCGAAAAGGGTTAAATTCACTCACTGCTGAAGAAGAATCATCCCGTTAAGCAATATTTTTTTTTCTTTTTCTCATTTTTATTACTATTGTTATAGCGCGATTAAATCGTAACCTAAGGGAGAATGAAGGAGGGCGTAATGTGTGGGAGGTGGGGAAAGGAGAGGCGTGAGGTGGATGAGGAAAAGGAAAAAAAAAAAAAAAAAGAAAAGAGAAAAGTAAAATGGGGAGAAAAAAGGGGTGAGGGGATGAAAAGAGTGGGAGCAATTTCGATCGAGACGACACAATAATACTACCTTTTCTTTCTTTCTTTCCTTCTTCACCTCCCCCTCCAACCAATCTGCTATTATAAATCTAAACAGAGTCTTCTCTAACGGGTGTGTGTGTTTGTGTGTGTGTGCTTTTCGCTTTGAAACGAATGCTTTTGTAAAGAAAGGCACCAGCGCACGTTTCTACGTGAAGAGAGAATAAGCGTTGCAATTGGAGCAACTTTACAACCCCACACACACACACACACACACACTTATCCCTCCCTGCCATTTCGTATGTGGGTGTGCACTTGTGTATATATATATATATATATATGTGTGTGTGTGTGTGTGTGTGTGTGTGTGTGTGTGTGTGTGTGTGTGTATCTGTATAAGTAGTACGAGTGCAAGCGAGATGAACGATAGAGATGACGATTGTGGATGGGTAGAGATAAAACGAGGTCGAATCGAATTCGTACGAGAAATTTAAATCCGAATTACATATATGCCAGAGACCGAAATACTCTTTTAACTCTTCTTTACATCTATAAATCTTCTTTTCCTTATGTAACAACGCTTGGCTTTCATTTCCGAATTTTTTTCTCACAATAAAAGGATCACATTTTACATTGATACGAGAAGGAGAGCCAGGATGAGAACTGGAAAAGATTATTCTGATTTAATTAGATCGAAAAAAAAAAAAAAGAATGGAATAAAAAAAGAAAGAAAAAGCAAGTGTGAATTCCGAAAGGTCAGAGTTGCGTCGATGGAGAAAAAAAAAAAAAAAGAAACTTTCTAAATTACTTTGCAAAATCGGATTGTTCTTCTTTTTTATGTTTTCTCCTCGAGGCTATATTTTTAAATCGATTTTTTTTTTTTGGAATTATACGGTGAGGAGGAGGAAGGGGAAAGAAGTGTTATCAAGCTCATAATTCTACAATATTATTTGTAGAATCGTTTAAAGGAATTCAATCTTTTCTTCGCAAATTATCGAAATTTGTATTGCTTTTTAGTTGAAAATAAAAGATCAACTTTTTTGCTTTTGCATCGTCGATAAAAAAAAAAAAAAAAAAAAAAAAAAAAAAAATGTATAAAAAGTGACATTATTTATTTTTTTTTTTTTTTACTCTAGACGTTTAAATAGGCCATCGTATAGATAAGTCATTCGGTGAAAAAAAAAAAAAAAAAAAAGGAATAAAGAGAAAAAAATAAAAAACGATTAAAGTCGAGCTATAAAAAGATAAAAATAGAAAAGGAAGATATATAGATAAATAGATGAATAGTTAAACGAAACGAAACGAAAATAATAAATCCACGTTGTTTTCGATATTATCGAAGGAGAACACACGTTCAAATCTTTCGTGACTATCGTCACGTATCATGACGGATTAACTTGCAGTAACTAGAATCATTAAATCGGCTTAACCCTTTTTGAAACTTCAACGAAACCGACATTTTTCTTCAAATTTATAGTTCCCAAAGCACGTAATACATATTCCTGACATTTTGTCAGCTGATATCTCGTTATTCTCATTGTCTAGACGATAAAATAAAAGAAAAAAAAAAAAAAGAAAAAAAAAAAAAAGAGGAAAAAAAAAAGAACTAGCCTTGAAACTCTTCGAACCACGTAAAACGTCTTTGATCCGTTTGACCTATTACGAGGAAAAAAAAAATAAAAAATAAAAAATAAAAATAAAAAAAAAAATAAAATAAAGAACAAAAAGAATAAAAAGAATGAAAAAAAAAAAAGAAAAAAAGAAAAAAGAAAAATAAAAATAAAATATATTCATACCGTGCCCATAAATATGTATATCCACATACATATGTATGTATGTAATATCGCAGATGATAGAAGCATAAAAGAACAAAAAAAAAAAAAAAAAAAAAAAAAAAAAAGAAAAAGAAAAAGAAAAAGAAAAAAAGAGAGAAGAAAAAAAAGAAAAAGAGAGCACGAGTTACGAGCGTTTCGAACGAGTCGTAAACGTTTTAACGATTTCCATGTGCTATAGCAGGAAACCCGGTCAACAATCGCAATATATGTATCTATGTATGTATCTATGAATGTATTTATGTATGTATGTATGTACGAATGTGTATTATATTTGCATACTTCTTAGATCGAATGGAATATATACATATATATGTGTTTGTGTGTATGTGTGTGTATGTATAAGTAAATTTCTTTTCTTTTTCATAGATATATTTTGCATAAAAAAAAATTCTCTAATCATAGATCTCGTTGATCTCAATTAAATGGAACTACTTTGAAACTGAATATTTTTTATCGTAATTACAAATAAAAATTATATAATATCATAGTTATAGTATCATTTATACTAATATAGTAAATTTTACTAATTGACTATATTATATCAAGTATAGTACATTTATACTATAAATTTCAAATTATATATATATATATATACGTACATACCTATCATTAACAAATATTATACAATTTCATATTATACTATAATAATAAAAAGAAAAAGAAAAGGAAGAAAAGAAAAGAATACGAATACACATATACAAATGCGTACAATGAATTGATGCTAACATTAATGTTTGTGTGGTGGTATGACTCAGAAAGAGAGTCATACATGAAAAGCAACGAATGCGAATTCCACGATTTGCTTTTACGAAGCGAAACGCGAGACGACCTCAAATTAGACGACACCTAATCTCGAGTTTAGAAGCTTCGTCGTCGTCGTCGTCGTCGTCGTCGTCGTCGTCCTCGTTGTTGTCGTTGTCGTCGTTCTACGTAGAAACATCACATCGGTGAGCATACTTTTTAGTGAGTTTAAAAAAACCAAAGGAAAACTCTCATTTTCCTTATTTTCTCCTCTCTCTCTCCCCCTCCCCTACACCTTCTCTCTCTCTCTCTCTCTCTCTCTCTTTTCTTTTACTTTTACGTTGACCCAGCACGCGAACTCGTTCGATATCGATCGGCTTCGAAGGTAAGCGCAGCAGCGCAACATACATAAAGTCGACTTGTGAGACTCTCTTTCTATGCCCCAGAAAAAAAAAAAAAGAAAGAAATAAAGACGAAAAAGAAAAAGAGAAAAAGAGAAAGAGAGAAACGAAATATAGAAACAAAAAAGAAGGCAGAAAAAAAGAGAAAACAATAAGAAGATATATATCGAAAATCTATTTCGCATTATGTTATTACGTTATTAACTGCAACAATGATCTAATAATACGTTTCTAATAACAATTGTTCTATGACGAACGAGTAATTTATTATTAATATTATTATCGGAAAACATAATTATAATATTAATTATAATACTTTTTGCAAATTATAATATAAAGAGTATTAAGTAGATAAACGCGTTCGAAAATTTTGCAACTTAAATACAATTTCGATCGATGTCCAAAGGAGAGAGAGAAAGAAAGAAAGAGAAAGAGAAAGAGAAAGAGAGAGAGAGAGAGAGAGAGAGAGAGAGAGAGAGAAAGAGAGAGAGAGAGAAAGAGAAAGAGAGAGAGAGAGAGAGAGAGAGAGAGAGAGAGAGAGAGAGAGAGAGAGAGAGAGAGAGAGTACCATGGTAATGAGCTAAAAATAGTATGCTTCCGCTTTTATTCTCTGTAATATGTCTTGTATCCCAAGCATGAAAACACACATACCACACAAATATATGTATGCATACACACATATATATATATGCATACATATTATATATATATATATAAAGGCAAATTGAATTTCAAGGGAAAATAACGATTCAGAATGATCCATCGATTACAATCTACGAGCAAGAAAAATGATAAAAAAAATCGATAAGTTCGACGAAGTGGAAAAAAATTGAATTAAAATGAAAATTCAAAAAAGAAAAAGAAGAAGAATAAGAAGACGGAAGAAAAGGAAAAAAGAAAAATAACGAAATAATAAAACAAAAATAACAAAATTGACCTAGAAAATTCGATATGATTCGAAGAGAGCGAGAACGCGTTAAATTCGTTAAGGACGACGTACATTGTCGAATACAAAATGGCATCTGGTTTCGAGTGTCTCCGGTAAAGTTCGAGGAGGGAGGGAGGGGGGAGGAGAATGAAGGAAAGAAAATAAACGATAAAGTACGAAGTATTTACGAGATTACACGAAATTATACGAATAAGAAAAGAGCGCGCGAAACGGACGAGAGAGAGAGAGAGAGAGAGGGGGGGGGGGGAGAGAGAGAGAGAGAGGGAGGGAGAGAGAGAGAGAAAGGAAAAAAAAACTGAAAGAAGGACGTTGAATAAGGAAAACAAAAAAAGAAAAGTAAAGAAAGAGAAGTTATAGAAAATATAAGAGAAGAGGAAAAGAGAAAATGACGTGCGTTGTTAATCTTCCTTACCCTTAGCTCTGCGAGCCAGATGCGATATATTCTGTCTGAGAACTTTTAGCCACATCTTCGCGCCCTTCTGCTTGTTTTCTAACCTCGACGACGACGTCCTGCGTCCTCGGCGTTTAATATTTACCGACGAGGCTTCCTTCTTCTTAGAAGCAGGAAGCATAAGAAAAAAGGATGCCAGATGTCCTTCCACCTTGTCACAGTTTTTAACGTACTTTCGAATGAAAAAAAAAAATAAAAAAAAAAAAAAATAATAAATAAAAAGAACGACGACGACGACGACGACGACAAAAACGAAGAAGAGAAGAAGAATCAACGTCGAAAGACGTAAACGCTCGTTAAAATATATCTTTATATTTCGTTTATTAATGATATTAAAATTCAAATTAATCGATAAGACGAGTCGATATTATCTATTATTTTGTTAACGAATTTCAATATAAATATTGAAAAGGAGAAATCGAAGATAAGGTTAAAGAAAGTGGAAAAAAAAACCCAGAAAAAAGCAAAAAAGGAAAATTACGAGAGACGTTCTTTGCCGTTGAAATAGCGTTACGAGACAAACACTAAAGGCGGGGATACGCGTGGCTTTTATACACGTTCGTTGGATCACGTAGGCACGTTTGAGTTCGTATCGTGTCGTGTCGTGTCGAGTCGAGTCGAGTCGAATCGAATCGAATCGAATCGAATGGGAACCTTCCTTCGCACAAGAATCTACTATCCAAGCACGATAATATCGGCCCACGGGCCTTGGACGATCATACGCCAAAGTCCTCTTTTCTCTTCTCTTCTTGTTTACAGAGAACAAGCGTAACGCGAAACGACGTCGTTCTATAACAGAAGCTCTTTACTCGCCGGCGTATCTACGCTCAACTGCACGGGTCGGAGCTGCGCACGCAACTTCACGCATAATGGGAGTGGGGAAACCACAGGGAGCGGGGACGAGACGACCAAACGAAGTGAGCTGATTGGTCGACGCGTTCGGCGACCCGAGAGGGGCGACGAGTGCCGGGAGAACGGACCACGTGACTCAGCCCGCCTTATCGCCGCCAAATTTGAACATAAATAACAACCGTTGTTGCGACCATTATTCAATGACTTTCTCGACCGTACATATCTTAAACGTGGCATCGTTTAGATCGTTTATTTTCTTTCAGACGACGATTATCACATATCTTCTTTTTACCTTTTCTTTTCTTTTCTTTTCTTTTCTTTTCTTCCTTGTCTTTTTTTTTTCTTTCTTTCCTTTCTCTTTTTATTCTTCTCGATCTCGTTTCGATAATAAATAATCGATGGAACCTCTATAAGACGAATTCTATCATAGTAAAGTTGAAATTATTACCCATTCGGTTTATATTTTTAGATCGTGCCGAAGAGGATATAGAAATACTGTTGCAATATCTCTGTCATGGATACGTGAATTGCGTTGAAGAAACTTACGTACGTATATATATATATATGTATATAAATTTCTAATACACAAGAGACCAAACCGTAGCTAGCAAACTTTTATTTCGCAATGAAACTCGTAGCCGGACGAAAAACCTTTTTCGATTCTTTCTATTTGGCGTTCTGAAATTTTACCCATAAAATCTAGTTTTCCTTTTTTGGTTTTTACTTTTTTCTTTTTTTTTTTTTTTTTCTTCTTTTTTTTTCTTTTTGCCAGGTGAGAAACTTTCTTTACATTCTATTTTCACTCGCCGTAAATATATCGATTACTAATGTCGGAAAATTGTGCGTGCGCGTATCTGTTTGTGTGTAGTACGTGTCAAGTAGAAGGAACGCAAGAATGAAAAAAAGCGATTTGAATTCGGTCTCGTACTAGTTTAATCTACGACGGATCGTTAAAAAAGAGTTAACGGCTTGATATTTATATAAATGTGTGTGCGTGCGTAAGTGCGTACGTGCATATGTCACGTGATAATTATCGTTTCCACCAAAGCGTTAACGATAAGACGAAAACAAAGTCAAAATGCTAAAGAGCACTTGAGATTATATATAGAGATCATCAATAATTAATATAATAATAAGAGATTCAACAATTAACACAATACATTTGTTCTTTATCATGATTCTTTTTTTCTCTTTCCCCCTACCCCCACCCCTCTTCCCATCACCGCGAAGAACTTAACGATTATAATTTATTTCACGAAAACGTGATTAACGCGTTAGATAAAAAAAGAAAAAGAAGAATAAAACATAAGTCACGTGAGATATTCAAATCAGATAAAATCTTACGTTCTTTTTTTCTTTCTTTCTTTCTTTCTTCCTTTTCTTTTCTTTTCTTTTCTCTGTTTTTTTTCTTTTTCTCTTTTTACAAAATAATAATCCAGAACTAATATAGATCATCATCCTCGATTTTAAATATCTCGTTAAACTGATTATTTATATATTATTTTTTGATGAGCGCGAGCGACATATGAAAATAAAAGTGTATATATATATATACCTTTGAAGTGTCATCAATGTAAAAGTGAAGTGCAACACACCTAAGATTCTGTTTAATGAATCAACCGGTTTCTATTTTATCACTCGAATACTATTATTTCACGTAAGGATGATTAAGCGTTTAACGAGTTTCTAATCTTTCCTTAATTCTATTTCCAAAGTACCAATCTATTGTCCTCATTTAAACCGATCTATTTTCTTTCGAGATATTTCGAAAAAAAAAAGAAAAAAAAACAAAAAAACAAAAAAGAAAAGGACGGGGGATAAAGGGGGAAAAAAGATAAAAAAGAAAGATCAAAAAAAAAAAAAAGAAAAAGAAATAGAACAAATTAAAGGAAACAAAATACATAATAAAATTACAGAACAATGAGAGCTATTAGTGAGATTTTAATCACAGGGAACGATTAGATCTCTCACTTGGATATTATCGGAAAGGAGAATTTAGAACGACGACCGACATTAATAATAGCCCCTTTCCTTTACTCCCCCCTTCGTTCTCTTCACCAAACCCTCCTTCTCCTTCCCCTATTTCTATCCACCCCTCCCCAATGCCCATGAATAATGCATTTTCTCGGGAAATCATTGCGAGCTTCGAAAGAGGGACGCGTCCGTTCAAACGGAAATCATGTCGTTCGTTATCCATTAAAATAAAAAAAATAAATAAATAAATAAAAATAAAAATAAAAGAAATGAAAAAAAAAGAAAAAGGATAAAGATAAAGAAGAAGAAGAAGAATGAAGAAGAAGAAAGAAGAAATATAAGGAGAAATTATTAAATTGAATTAGATCGTTAAAAAAAAAAAAAAAGAAAAAGAATAAATGACGAATCTCAATGAAATTAATGAATTGTTTAACGAGCAATTGTATTTAACTTAGAAATAATATATTCTATCTTTAATAGAATAATGATGATGAAAAAGAATTCAATAGATTCATGATTGAGTGATTGGTTTAATGGTAATTCAAACTAATATAATTCCTAATCCTAACGAATAAAAGAGAATGAAAAAGAAAATCGATGTTGCTCGTGAAAACACGATGTCCGTACGTCGTGTGAACTGGCATGAACGATCTATGATTATTTTTTCTTCGGAAGATCACACGCACACATATACATATACATATACATATATATATATATATATATATATATATATATAAAGACACATATACAATAGTTCGTAAAGATAACTTAGTCTCGAACTCGTCCTTTTGATATATAAAATGAAACAGAACAATATAATCATATTAATTTAGCGTTTACTCACGTTTTTAATGATTACATTTTTAGTATATATATATATATATTAGTATATATATTAGTATTTAATTAGTGAGAAATGATGATGATGATGATGATGATGATGATGGTAATCTTTCGATCGTTTACAATTTTATTACTTAATTGCAATTTAAAAGAGAAATAAATTTTGAATAAATTATTCGATGAGAAGATAAGAAAGAAGAGTCGAATATTTGCGAAGATAAAAAAAAAGAGAGAGAAAAAGAGAGAGAGAGGGAGAGAGAGAGAGTGGGAGGGAGAGAGAGAGAGGAAGAGGGCGGGAGAGAAATTGTAGAATATCTTCATCTGATAGAATGCAACGATGAACTTTTACAAAACGCAAAAGAATTTCTTGCAATTAGTGGGACGTTCACACGTTGCCGAAAGGTTACCGATTAACAACCATACATAATTTTATAAATCTTTGGTTCAGTGACCAAACAAAGTGTTACGATCAATTTAACCATATTGTCAAAAGGATCACATCTATCATTTTCTTGAATGAATATCGAATGAAACGTTAATTAATGAATGAACGAATTAATTAATTCATATTTTCGTTTTTTTTTAACGTAAGGAATATTTTCTTCTTTTCTTCTTTTTTTTCTTTCTGTTTTTTTTTTCTTTTTTTTTTTTTTTTTACAATTCAATGTACACACATACAGACAGATATAAAATAATCATTTGTAATGATTATTTCCTCTTTCTTTTTTTCTTTTCTCTTTTTTTTCTTTTTTCAAACATTTCAACTCCGTGTAACAAAAAAAATAACCAAAAAAAAAAAAAAAAAAAAAAAAGGAAAGAAGTTCCATCTTAATAAACGTATTGTCGATTATAATAGTGGGGTGGGAGCATGATAAATCGTAAAAAAAAAATTATGCGCGCGCGCTCGCGCGCGTGTATGTGTGATTCAACCGTTATATTTAGAATGACCCGTTGTAATTATGTCGCGGTAATTAAGGAATTAGCCGTGGCAAATGTGTTATGGCTTTAGGAAAGGTCGCTATTAAAGTGGCCTGTCTTATAAATCGATAAAAAGAAATGAACCTCTTTCTAGTCTCCTACTCTCTCTCTCTCTCTCTCTTTCTCTCTCTCTCTCTTTCTCTCTCTCTCTCTCTCGCTCTCTCTCTCTCTCTCTCTCTCTCTTTTCCTATTTGAATATTTCATACAAGGCTCTTTCGAAAAGTGCGAACAATTTCTTAATATAAAAACATTAAACGAATGAAAGAAGGAAAGAAAAAAGAAAAAAAAACAAAAAGAAAGAAAGAAACTAAAAGTATAAGTACAAGAGTATGAAAATGATCGATCCATAATTAATGTGACACGATCGAATAATCCCCAATGCTCTTTGTCTTTTTCTTAATTAATTTTTTCTTCCTTTTTTTTTCTTTGAGATATGTAAAACGCCTGACTGTCGAAAAAAAAAAAAGAAATATTAATCACAAACGAAAAAAAAAAAAAAAAAGGAAAGAACAAAAAATTCGGTATCTATCTTAATTATTATAAAAATGATTAACGATAAAAATAAACATATTTACTAATATTAACGATAAAAATAAACATATTTACTTATTAAATTGTAACATTATATTAAACGCTAAATAACAGAGTAAACTTGTATTAACATAAACGTTCGTATACGAACGAAATTTTCATCTCCGATCGATCATCAGTCATCGTTATCAAAGTTATACTGACTAATACTACATTAATCTTACGAAATAATGGATCTGTTTGTCGACGAAATAATCACAAGTTTCTGTATTTTTTTCTCTCTCGTTCGCTCCACCTCTTTCTCTCTCTCTCTTTCTCTCTTTTTTCCTCTCTTTCCCTCACGCCCTCACGTTCTTTTTCTCTTTAAGAGGGAGAAACCAAAGTGGATAGCGTATAGAGAACGTCAACGGTTCAGCGCATAGATTAATCAACGCACGTCCGTTTAATTAGAATCATCGAACCAACAATTACAACCAGATTGATGGAGTAACGACGTCAATTACGTGAACAATGGATCTCTCTCGGTATATATACATATATATATATATATGTATATATGTATATATATATATACATATATATAAATATATAAAGGTATATACATATATTTCCCCGAGAGAAACGTAATCACTTATTATCTATTCCCTGACCTATGATAATGTTATTCGAAAGATTTGCAAAAAGAATAAGGGCTAAAGAAGAAGAGACGAGAAGGAACAAAAAAAAAAATAGGAAAGAAAGGAAAAAGGAAATCTCTTTACACACTGACCTAATCGAATTAAACTCTACGATGTTATGGATACAAGCTATAGAAAATAAAATAATAATAAAAAAAAAAAAAAATATATATATATATAAAAAGAAGAACGAAAGAATAATTATGTACGAGCCAGCTTAGTCGTGGATCAATTTATTAAAAAAAAAAAAAAAAAAAAGAAATCTATCTACGACTTCCCTCCCTCCTATTACAGAAAAAAATGGATGAACAAGTAAAAACAAACAAATAAAAAAAAAAGAAAGAAAGTAAGTGGAAAAAAAAGAAAATATGATTACTCACGTATAGAGTCTCCATTTTTCTTATTACTGTTGTTCTTGTTCTTCTTGTTCTTCGGATAGATGTTACCGATTTTACTCTGGCCACAACCCATCCTGTTGTTCACCCGTTTACTTCATACGACAGCGAGACCACCGAATTCACTGGCACACGAAACAACAATACTCTCGTGTTTTTTCTTCTCCCTTCTCCTGTTCACCTCCTATTACTTCTTCTCTTCTTCTACCTCTTCTTCTTCTTCTTCTTTTTTTTTTCTTATTCGACCAAACAGTATTCTTTTCTTTCACATTCCTTTCACTTCCTCCATCGAAAAAGATCAATGAATCTTACACGAGGGCGATCAACTTTCTTGAACTTATACACAACGAATAGCAATGGGCCTGAATATTATATTCTTCTTTTTTTCTTCTTCGTTTTCTTTTATACAGTCTTTCTTTCCGATAACGAACGGTCTATATACATATATATGTATATATATATATATTGTGTTTAAATATATATATATATATATATCAATCTTTCCAAATACAAATAATGTATACACATATAAATATTCTTCTTCTTCTTCTTTGTTGTATAGACACTCAATATACATATATGTGTGTATATGTGTGTGGTGTGTGTATATATATATAATATACAATATATATATTTATATATTACAAGTAGGGGATATATAATGTTTATATCAAGATCGAATTGTATTCTTCTCTTTCCTTCTTTCTCTTTCTTCCTTTTTTTCTATTTATTTATCAATTTATCTATCTATCTATTTATCTATCTATCTATCTATCTATATTTATTTATTTTTTTATCTCACTCACATACCTTTGGATGATACTCGTAGAAACTTTTTTACATTACAAAATATCAATGACTCGACCGAAAAACAATTGGACGGGAGATCCAAGGAGAGATATGTATATATGCTTTTGTTTACGAATATATATATATATACACATACATATATACGTACATACATACATGCATATATATATATATATATGTGTGTGTGTATGTATTCGAGTATAGGTATCTGTATGTAAAAAAAAAAAAAAACGGAAAAGAAAAAAAATGAAAAACCTTGAAGGAGCTCTCAAGATATGTGACTCCGTCGATAATAACTTGGAAAAAAGAAAAAGTAAATAAAAAATAAAAAAAAAAAAAAGAAAGAAAAATAAATAAAAATCAGAACACAATTTTTATCAGTATCTCCACTAATCGACAGTACATCCTTTACATGATTTCTTTCTGTTACTTTTCTCTTGTATCTTGTTCTCCTCGTACTTTTTTCCTTTTATTTATTTATTTATTTGTTTATTTCTTTATTTATTTCCTTTTAATTAAGTGGATGGACCAGCAGTATTGCACGCGTATATATTTTCAATGTTGTTTCCTTTTTAATAATATTTCAGTCTTTTTCGTACGCGTCGAAAAAAAGATTGTACGACGACGGATTTGCAGTCTTGCGATTTAGGAATTTTTGTTCACCGTGATAAAATCCTCAGGAGGCTCCTCCTATAACACAAAATCAAATTATCATAATAATAATAATAATAATAATAATAATAATAATAATAATAATAATAATAATAATAATAAGTTATTTTATTTATAATAATATAACTTGATCATATATATTTTATTATACATATGAAGTGTTATATAATCTTATTACGATGGATTCATTATTACATATGGCAAATTATATTTAAAATGGCACGATCGCATAGATAAAAATAATTCATTATTATTTATTCATTTTACTATCGCTAAAAGAAAAAAAAAAATATAGTATATGAAAGTTTTACTCTCTGTCTCTCTCTTATATCGGGCACATTTAATGATATAATTATAAGTAATATATTCTAATCTAGACATTACGTAACTATTATTTTTTTGAAAGGAGGGGAAAAAAAAAGAAAAGAAGAAAAAAAACAAAAATAAAGAAAATAACAAAAAGTTATCTTATAAAATTGTCAATGTATACACGCGTAAAATATAAACAAAATTTGTAATTTCATTTTGTAAATTATTTCACTTTCAATCTGTATTCCAAGTATGTTCCACTTTTCATATTCATATTGATACATAAATAAATATATATATATATATATATATCCATATAAACGAATAATAGACGACAAGCGTAAAAGAAACATGTGATGAAATAAATGTATAGTTATTACCTGAGTCCGTACGTCCAATCCATTCTGTCTAGTTCGTCTGATCTACGGCATGGTATAAACATCAGTGGTATCATCTATCCCATGTCCAGAGCGACATGTTGAGCATCCTTTCGTCTCGTTGTTTTGCACATTCGTACGATCACGATCCTCTTCTTTCTTTCTCCCTTTTTCTCTCTCACTCTCTCCCTCTCTCTCTCTCTCTCTCTCTCTCTCTCTCTCTCTCTCTATGTGTATGCGTATGTGTACATGTATTTATATATATGTAAATATATGTATATGTATAAACGTATACACGTATGTACGTGTTTTTCTTCTACGTTCTAACGTTCTACCAGTATGTATTATCATCGGTTTCGAAATAAAAAAAAAAAAAAAAAAAAGAAATAAAAAAAAAATAATAAAAAAAAAAAGAAAGAAATTTTCACCACTGAGAGAAAGACAGAGAGAGGTTGGTGGGATAGAGACAGGTGATAGAGAGGGAGATAAAAATCAACAAAAGAAAATAATAACGTAACTTAAACACTCGTAGATACTACTTTTTTCTAAGTTTCTCTTTTAGCGAATGAACATTTCATGTGATCTCCAAAGGAAAATTTACGACGAGGTAAAGAAGAAAATCTTTCTATCTTCTTCTTCTTCTTCTTCTTCTTCTTCTTCTTCTTCCTCTTCTTCTTCTTCTACTTCCTTTTTTCTTCTCTCTTCAATTTCTCTCGGATTGGTCGAAGGATGACGTAAAAGAATTATAAAAAAAAAATAGAAAAAAAAAAGAAAAAAGAAAAAAGTAAAAGAAAAAAGATATCGAGAGAGAGAGAGAGAGAGAGAGGGAGAGAGAAAAGCGAAAAACAAACTAGCGATCAGAGTTTTTCTTTACGATGTCGAACTGAAAAAATTCTCTTTTTCTCTTTCTTTTCCACTTTCCTTTTTTTTTCAATGTCTTCTCTTCTTCTTCTTCTATTCCTTCTTCTTTTTTCTTTCTTTCCTTCTTCCTCCTCACGATTTTTCCCTTATAGGAAACGTTCGACGATTTTCGTTAGATCGGGGGCAAGCTCGATAATAGTTCTCTCGATTATATCAGACTGACTGGTCGATGCTGAAACGAAGAAGAAAATTTACATTGAGTTAATATATTGAATTTCTTCACGTTTCTTTTTTTTTTTTTTTTTTTTTTTTTTTTTTTTTTATCAATCTCCATTACGGATCATCCACGATTTTATTTCCTTTTTTCTTTATTTTTTCTTTTCAAATAAATCTTAACAAGATTAATTCGATCAAATAGAAATTTCATTTATCAAGAAGTGCGAATGTTATTTCTTTGTTTCTTTTTCTTTTCTTCTTTTTCTTCCTCTTTTTTTTTTCTTTTCTTTTCTTTTAGATTCATTTTCATTACCGACGTTGGCATATATACTCGTTTTATATATATATTTGTATTATATAACAATGACGATAATGATTAGTATTATTGTTATATTATGCAATTATATATATATATTAAACTAGGTATAATTTAATCAAATTGAAATTTCATTTGTCAAAAAGTATGATATTTTTTTTATATGCATATACATATATATATAGTAATTACACACACAGTAAGTATACATATATATATATATATAGTAATTTTCTTGACTGACGTTGGCAACTTCTTTTATATATAATAATGATAATAGTTATCTAACTATATATACATATGTATATATATTATAAGTATTATCAATAGGAAGCAAAGAAAGGAATCATTTAACATCAAAATAATAGTGCGGAGAGGGAGAGAAAGAGAAAGAGAAATGGAGAGGGAGAGAGAGAGAGAGAGAGAGAGAGAGAGAGAGAGAGAAATGATACGAGAGTGTTTTTGCGAAAGAAGCAATGATGAATCCTTATCAAGTAATCCGCGTTATCATTCTACTTATCGATTCGATATAGTACATATCGCTTATTTAAAATGAGCTCCCTGTTATTACAGAGAATTATCCTCGACTATTTTACAATTAGTTATTATATTTAATTCGGACAAATATTGAAATATTTCGATTTAAAGCGATTAAACAAATCTCTCGCTCTTGAAGAATACGAACGAAGAACGACAATGCATATCGATAATTGTACGAATGAAATATTGTATTGTAAAAAAAAAAAAAAAAAAAAAAAAAAAAAAAAAAAAAAAAAAAAAAAAAAAAAAAAAAATTGAACGGACAGGAATTTTATCCAATAATTTGTGAATTTCGCGCTCCTTTTTTTTCTTCCACCTTCCCCCTCTCCATACCCCCGTTCGCCGTTGTTGTTGTTCTTATTGTTATTCATCGGAAGGACGCGTCACGAGGATCGTTCGATGTATTTCTTTTCTTTTTCTTTTTTTTTTCACTTCTATTCTTTCGTCGAATTCCTTTTTTCGAATCTTTTTTTCTTTCTTTTTCTCACTTTGTTCTTTTCTTGTTTTCTTTTTTCTTCTTTCTGTTTTTCTCTTTTCGTTTCTCTTTCTCTTTCACCACAAAAAATAATCACAAACTATTAACGTTGTTAATGCCAAAAGCATAAGAAAAGAGACGAAATTTATATGGATTTTGGTTGGATCGATAGAAAAACAAAATGAAAGTAACGATGACGGAACAATTTATTGTTCATTAAATTGTTTTCTCTCTCTCTCTCTCCCTCTCTCTCTCTCTCTCTCTCTCTCTCTCAAGTTCGATCGATCGATCGAATTTAATCTTATCGCAACGTAGCTGCACGCCGAGTAGATTAATTCATACTTTATTCTGGTCGTTCCGACGTTCTCTTTACGATCCCTAAATCAACTGCCCACGCGTATCGAGAGAGAGAGAGAGAGAGAGAGAGAGAGAGAGAGAGAGAGAGAGAGAGAAAGAGAGAGAAAGAGAAGCTCACTCACTCTCTTTTCTTTTCCATGGAAATGTACGCTCGGAGTATGTTTATTTTTTTGTATATCTTCTACTTCAAATTTAATTTTCGCACCTCGTTTCTTATTCGCATGATAAGCTTTTTAAAGAGTCCTATAACTAGGGGTGGTAACGTACGATGACCTTGATTAAATTTGACGTGAACGAACCGACCGTAAAATTCATGCGTACGATTTCATCGATCCTGACGATATACTACATTTTCGTTAGAAACAAAAAAAAAAAAGAAATATTTATATATATATATATATATATATATATATATATACACATAAAGAGAGAGAAAGAGAGAAACAGAATATGTGTTCATGTATATATATTCTGTATGTGTGTATGCTACTGTGTGTGTGTGTGTGTGCGTGTGCGCGCGCGCGTGCGAGAAAGTTCTTTCTTTTTCGTTTCCTCCATTTTTTTCCTGTCATGGAAAGCTCACCTTTCTATATCTTGACAACTATAATCAAAATGAGAGCACATAATCTCACCACGATAAATATAATTTATAATAAAGTCCATATCAAGTGTAATCATAGAACGGAAGAATTACACGAACTTTTAATACGCTAGCGATGATCTTACGTGCTACGTTCGAGGATTTATATACGACTTTTCGATTGATAAGGGTCCGTAAAGAGAGAGAGAGAGAGAAAAAAAAAGAAAAATGAGAGAAAAAAAACAAAACAATAAAAAGAAGCAAAAGAAGGAAGGAAAAGACAATCGATCTTGTCGACCAATAAGAAAATTTGTTATATATATATATATATAATCGCAGATATTATATCGCGTACGATCATAGGAATGCTTTTTCGCACCAATTTTGTCGAATCATTATCTTTAACTTCCTTCGTATCATCTTATTTCCGTTCGTTCACGATCAATGTAAAAATACGTTCCTCGTTTGAAATGTAAAAATAGAGGAAAAAGAAAAAAAAAAAGAACAAATAAACAAACAAACAAACAACAATAACAACAACAACGACATAACGAATGTGAACATGTCTGACATTAAAAGCGTTCGATTAAAATAATTTAAATACGAATATCATTCGTTAAATTTCGTAAAGTCATTTTTTTGCAATTTGTATTTCGTCGTTACTCTACATGCGACACTTCCGCATTCTTATTTTTTTTTTTTTTTTTTTTTTCGTCGAATAACGCGATACATAGTCGTACGGCTTCGACATACAATTGCAATGACGATGATGAAGAACGATAACGTTTCGTAAACACAAAAATTTCTTATAACATGAACAAGATCCTCCGCCACTGGCTACTTTGACCATCACCATCAACATCACCGATCATACCACCACCACCACCACTATCATTATCAACCACCACCATCACATCCGCGCCTTTGGATTTCGCGCAAAGAAAGCAATATGGCGATCGATACGTACAACGCGGTACGCCGCTTTTGACAGTTCGACGACACAAAATATAAACACTTTGCCACATCTATTTGTCCTTCATATATATACATACACATACATATATATATACATATACATATATATATATTACATACATATATAAAATCATACTAATCTTTTACGTGGGACGAACTCTTTCGAAAGAATAGAAGAAAAGATAACAAATCGTTTTTAACCGCCTTGACCTCGTAATTTGACTTACAAAAAAAAAGAAAAATAAATAAATAAAATAAAACTAAAAAAAAAAAAAAAAAAAGTAAAAGAAAATTATGCACATTAAAAAAAAAAAAATAAAAAATAAAAATAAAAATAAAAAATACGATACTTATAATAAATCCATCATCTTTTGTTTTTCTTTCTGTCTGTTTGCGTTCAAGAAAGAAGATTCGCATCTACAAATATAAAACACGATATCGTCTCTCTTTCTTTCTCTTTCTTTCTCGTTCTCTCTCTCCTTCTCTCTCTCTCTCTCTCTCTCTCTCTCTCTCTCTCTTTCTCTTTCACACACTGACTCTCACTCTCACTCTTGAGATGACGAGAGGAAAGATAGTGGGAGGCGGTAAGTAAAGAATATACAACGTCAGCCGAAAATTTCAATTTCAATACTCTCTCAACTAACCTCGTTCTTCTTAATAGAAGAGGACCGACCGGACGACACACGGTATATATATATATATATATATATATATATATATATACATACATGCACGACGCACGCACGTATACACCAAATCGACGTGTCCACCTGTTTTTCAACGTTTATTGTTAGAGTAAGTGACGCACCAGGCACTCTGACGATTTAAAAATTTTTTCTATTTTATTTTTTGTACTCTTCTTAAAAAGAGTGAATAAGACGATGATATATACAAGATATATTATATATGTATATATATATATATATATATATATATACATATATAAATATAAATATAAATATTTATATACATATATACATATGTGTATAATATTCAATATAGAAAGAGAAAGGATAATATGATATAAGAGTTAGACGAGAAAAGAAAAAAAAAAGGAAAAAAAAAAAGTAGTGTGATGTACCGCGCGTAAAGACGAAGAGTAACGTTCCGAACACACTCGCTACCCTCGAGGCTCCAGCATCGACTATTCGTCCGGACGAGGCGCCAGCTGGATCCGCGCATGCGCATCCCCGCCATTACTACTCGAAACACGTATACACAAATACATACATAATATACTCGACGAGAGCACCCTATCTCTGTCTCTTCTTTTTAACTAGGCTATTCTCTTATATGTGATTGTGTGTACGTTTGTGTTTATGCATGTGTGTATGTCTGTATATGTCTCCACCTATTACGAACGATATACACATACACACATACACACACACAACATTCCCTTCTACAGAGTGTCCTGAAAATAAATCAAGATTTACTCTCGCCAATAATCTTTATACTATTTTATAATTTTCTAGGTTAATTTTATCGGTCAATATAAATTGTTCGATCAAAATTTTTTATATTTGAAAATATTCGATAACGATACTTCGTTGTATTTGTTACTTACCGATGACGATGACAACGACGACGACAACGACAACGATGATAATGATAACGATGACGTTAATATATTATTTTTTGAACACCCCATATAAATTGCGTTGTAGGGTGCGTTCACGTGTTCTCGACCTCCTCAGGAGTGTTCGTGTGTTGTATTAGTTGTCAGGGCCGGCTCAAGGAAGGCGGATATTTAAAGCTAACGAGATTTGAGAGCTTCTGCTTGTCGCATCTAAGGATTTTATTGTAGGAACCAATGCAAAAGTGTACGCACGTTAATGAGATTTTCATTGTATTATAAGGTCTTAATCTAACCTTAAGAACTTTCTTTAATTTTTTTTCTTATATTTTCGCATGTAACATATTTATATATATATATACATATACATATATATATATATATATATATATGCTTCCAAAATATTTGTCTGCCGAATGGCGATATGATGTTGCATAAAAAAAAAAAAGTACAAAGTTCGAATTAACTCTTGCTAAAGATCTAACATATAATAAAGTAATAATAGTTCCTTTAAATTATATTAATTTCGTTATTTAAAAAAGAAAACTTTATATTACTACTTTTAATTACATACAATTACGTTACGTTTCTTTAGATTTAAAATATTATTTGAAATAAGCTTGTCGATCATACGTACACGATTCATTTATTTCATATATTAAATTTCGTGACTGAAATAACCTTAAATACGTACATATGTAATAGTGTATATGTATAGTTATTCACGTGTATATGTACTGGATGTATCGTACATAAAACGATAGGATTGAATCTCTACAATCGTAGAACGGTGAAGGCTTCAAAATCGCTCATGAGAACCAGATTCTTTCTACCCACAAAACACATTTTTCTAATCATCTTACCTTTCTCATTGTTATACCAAAGTTTAGATAAGATTTTACGATAAGGGATGAAAGTAATACGTATTAGAAATCATACATCCCTTTTGTATACAGCGACTATATATATATATATATATATATATATATATATATATATATATATTGTAATATATATATATATATATTGTAAGATAATCTTTCGTTCAAAAATACATGGAGAAGAAAAGAAAGAAGAAAAAAAAGAAACCATGAGAAAAATACTTACGGTTATTACACGCTAATAAAAAAAAATCGATCGAAAGCCAAGCCATCGGCTTTTCTCTCAACATTTTTATTTTATCGAATAAAAAAGCATATTTTTCTAGGCCTTCCGGTCTCTCTATTATCGTCGTGTTGTCAATTAATCCTTTGCTTTATTATTAAAAAATTATAATGTTTCTCTTTTAGACATGATCAATTATTGCGACTACTAACGCCACCTGTAAACGATTATCGAACTATATCTATCTTAGAAATAATATGAAATAATATGTACTACATAAATAAATAACGATTAACAATATTGCAAGGATCAACGAATAGAATGTAAATTCGAAATTGATTTCTATTTACACGGTCAGTATTTTTATATCTTTCATTAATATTTCAAATAAATATGATCCGTATTTATAATAAAATATACGTAATATAAATAACTTTGACGTTTAATTATTTATCTTGACACAAAATATTCGTATATATGTATATATATATACGATATATATATATATATATATATATCAAATATATATATATATATATATATATATATATATATATGGCAATTTATTTTAAAGAATACTTACCATTAATCAATAAAAATATTGACCAAATAAATAGAAGTATAGATAATTTACAATCTATAAATATGAGTAACAATAAAAATAATAATAATAATAATAATAATAATAATAATAATAATAAAAATGAAAAAAAAACTAGAATGATATATCTGAGAGAAAGATAAAATAACATATAAAAAGAAAATCCAATATTGTCATGGGTCTCATGTTGAAAAGAAAATTCAAGGTTATATTTTTTTAATTGACCTTCTCTTTTTCGTCTAAAATTCAGCTGTGACGACGACGATGACGAAGGTCGACCCTAAGAGGGCCGAGAACTCTTCTTGTAGGATTATTAGTAGCCTCTAGTAAAATTATGACTTTCCAACAGGGATTTCTAGCTTTCGGAATCCTAATAGTTCTTGCCATAGTCAGTCTCTAATATTCGAAGCTATTCAAACGACACAGGTGTTTTCAACCATTGTGACAGGTATAGTACCTTCTGCGTTCTTCCTTTTTGTTTGGTTTTTGTTTGTTTCACCGAAAAAAGTGTCGAAAGAAATACAACTTGAAAAATTGTAGAGAAAATAAAAAGAATTATAGGAAACGACTGGATAATATTTATGGGATTTTGGTTTTCTTTCAAATTGATAAGATACAATAAAGAGTCATATATAAATTATCTCTTGAGATCAAAGGATATTTTAAGTAATAAATTCTATTAATGTTGTCCGAACTTTCGTTGAAATGCAATTACACGATTACGTCTAATCCAACGATATATATAAGGTGTACATATATATAAACACATACATATATATAAAGTATATATATATATATATATATATATATATAGATTGTGTATATATAATATATAGCTCTTTTCTTTACATAAGACGATCGGATTAAACTAATGAGAATTTTGTATGTATTGTGTTTCATGTTAATCACTCAATATTCTAATAAAAAATATAAATAACAAAAGTGACAGAATACAGGGTGTGCCAATAATATGTATGACATTAAAGATCAATTAATCTCTCTCTGTCGAGACTTTTTAATTTCTTTTTCTTTTCATTTAAATCGTAAATATACAAGAGCCTAGGAACTTTTGATGCATCCTGTATAAACGATAGTTCTTAAGATCAACTCTTGAAAGGTTACGCTTAAGATATGTTGGAAAAGAATTTAAAAAAAAAAAAACAAAAACAGAACAAGAGAGAGAGAGAGAGAGAGAGAGAGAGAGAGAGAGAAAGAGAGGACAAATCGGAACTAATGTTTTTACGCGAAGATAAAGTAAATTTTTATTATTTTTTTTACCTTTTTTTGGTTGGATACAATGATCGATTGATCTCTCGTTGCGATTAATTAAATTAAGTATCTCCAATAGCCATAACTACGTAATCTCGTTTACAAGACAGCCGTTTTTCATAGACGACGATGACGACGACGACGACGACGACGACGACGACGACGACGACGACGACGAGGTGGGTGGGTCGGGGAAGGGTAGGGGTGGGTATGAACCCAGCGCAATTTCGCAAAAACGAAGCTTGTATGGTTATTTCTTCTTTTTCTTCTTCTTCTTCTTCTTCTTCTTCTTCTTCTTCTTCTTCTTCTTCTTCTTCTTCTTCTTCTTCCTCCTCCTTTTTTTCTTTTACTCTATTTTCTTTCTTTCTTTTTCTCGTTTCCCCTTTTATTCTTTATCGCTTGGTTTTTTTTTCTTGTTTTTCTTTTTTGCCTCTGCCATTTGTTTCACAATTTCTATCACAATCAATTCGTTTCGCACGTTCGACGTATTTATACCAAAAAGTGAAACGCTATAATTGTCCATCTTTCATTCGATTTCTCGAATCTCATATCGAGCAGCGGTATATAACGAGACACGATCTTTCTTTACTTTCCAACATATTAGACAGATCTCAAAATAGAGAATACGATTTTAACGTAGATAACTATATTACTACAACGCAAAAATCACAATCTCTTCTTTCGTGTATTCCACGGCACACGAACACGTGCGCACGCATGCGCACGCACGCACGCACGCATGCACAGCACACACACACATACACAAACATATTATACATACGTACACTCATACACGCACACGTACACGTACGCATGCAAACACGAAAATCGCCTTACGAATATATATATAGGTACGATATATACGTCGAAGCAATGTACTTGCAGAGGAATGTTTCTAAACGAAAAAAAAAAAAAAAAAAAAAAAAAAAAAGAAAAAAGAAAAAACAAAAAGAAAACAAAAACAAAAAAAGAAGAAAGTAAAAATAAAAAAGAAAAGGAAAGGAAGAAACAAGAAAGAAAGAAAGAAAGTAAGAAAGACAGAATAATAATTTTATACCAAACTCCAAGAACGCGGTGCACAAAAGAAGAGTTCACAACAACATGGCGAACAGAGGATGTGCTCACTCGTGTGCGTATATGTGTGTGTATGTAAGACTATTCGTTCGTGGGTTTCCGTTCGTGGCTCGAATATTATTACGAGACAACCGCAAAAAATATTTAGAGACTACCATCCACGAAAGTCCAGGAACATCGAATAACGGGACGAACAAACGAAATACTGTTTTTCTCTTTACTCTCTCTCTCTCTCTCTCTCTCTCTCTTTCTCTTGATACAAGTATTTAAGAGAAAAGAAAACATTTCACAAAAAGTGTTTACTAAAGTTTTTCTATACTTTGTTTAAAGAGAAGAGTCGCTTAAAAAGTACAAATGACCGTTCCTATTATCCGTTGCATGTAAATACATATATATTATGTAAAACGTTCACGTGTACTCTTTTTCATTTCTCTCTCTCTCTCTCTCTCACTCTCTTTCTCTCACTCTCTCTTCGTTCGTTCGTCGCCGATTTTCAATGTCACCTGATAATTATTCACATCACACACGGATTCATTGTTTCCTCATTACGAGAAAGCTTTCAAATAACAAATACAATGTTAAAATGTTTCTTTTCTATATTTTACGTTTTTCATTCGATTTAAAATGAAAAACAATCTTACCCTTTCTCTCTATCATTCGTTCGCATTAAATACACGTTTGCGTCCATTTTTCTTGTTTAAAATTATTTTTTCCCGCGTTCCATAAACTCTCGCTCTCTCTCTTTCTCTTTCTTTATCACACACACACATATTTTCTAAGCCAAATATATTTAAAAAGTTATCGAGTATAAATATGAGATTTGAAAATCCGTCTAAAGCGAAAGGGAAAAAAAAGCGCGCCAGTTTTTATTGTTAATTCTCTATTGCGTACATTCCAACAATATTATTACGTCTCGTCTTGTCGTTTATCTGCACAATTCTCTTCGCAATAAATAAAGCAATGCAACCTTGGCGCCAAACCGTTGCAGATACAACGACATCTCGTAGCGGATTTGTCGCATTAGTTTGCTGTAATAATAATGATGCTGATGATGATGATGATGATGATGATGATGATGATGATGATGATGATAATAATAATAATAATAATAATAATAATAATAATAATAATAATAATAATAATAATAGTAATAGTAATAATAATAGAGTATAATAATAATCATAATATAATATAATATAATATAATATAATATAATATAATATAATATAATATAATATAATATAATATAATATAATATAATATAATATAATATAATATAATATAATATAATATAATATAATATAATATAAAATAATAATAATAATAATAATAATAATAATAATAATAATAATAATAATAATAATAATAATAATAATAATAATAATAATAATAATAATAGTAATAATAGTAATAATAATAATAATAATGATGATGATGATGATAATAATAATTAAATTTAACTATGATATATTGGCGCTAAGATTTTCTTTTTCTCTCATTCTCGCTCTCTCTCTCTCTCTCTCTCTCTCTCTCTCTCTCTCTCTCTCTCTCTCTCTCTCTCTATCTATCTATCTATCTATCTATCTATCTATCTATTTATCTATCTATCTGTGTATATTTTTTTCTTACTGGCAATAAAACCATTCCTATCAAGTATAAATAAATAAATAATCAATTCAGGATACTTCCACGCAATAGTATATATATATATATATATATATATATATATATATATATATATATATATATATATATATATATATATACATATATCAAGTGGGTATACTTTTACAAGATCACTCGTTTTTTATTCTAATTACTATTTCGTATTCGAAAATCCTTTTCTTTGACAAATTAGGCCTTGCATACTTGTGAACAAAACGTACTACGTGCGTCATTTTCGGTACTAATAACTATTTTCTATCTATCTCTTTCTTTTTCTCAAACAATAGAAATATAATTATCGTTTAATACTCTACTTATATAAAAACAAAGAAAATTTTTTATCGACCGATTAATTTTCTTTTATTCCTTTCCTCTCATTACAATGATTACTACCGTGAACTTTGCCTCTTATGTCGCTAATAACCTACACATAAGCTATGGATGCGACATAAAAAAAAAAAAAAAAAGTAACAATATGATTAAGTATTATAAGCATAGGAAAATAAACTAACCAAAAAAAGAAAACAAAAGACTATGTAGTAATTACGTACGTATTATTTTCGCCGTACATAAATGCATTCTAACGCAAGAAAACATACGCATACATACATATGTATAGATCATGGTTATTCGCCAATAAAGGTCCTACATCTTTATCAAAAATAAAATTTGATTATCACGATTTAATCGGTCATTATATTATAATCTTCAAATTAATTATTCTTTGATTAACATAATTTTATGCACAACAACAATAACAATAACAACAAAAACATTGTTTTATGGAAATTAGACGCACGTTTACGTTCTCACATTTTAATCTTAATTTTCTCTTGGTGCCCCGTTATTTCAAAACGAAGAAGACTTATGCTGGCATTGTGATGTGCTTATTTTAAGCTTATTCAGTGTTAATTCTAAAACATAAAAAAAAAAGAAAAAAAAACAAAAATTAAAAAAGAAAAAGAATTAAAAAAGAAAGAGGAATAAAACAAATGGTATATGTAACTTATAAGACGAATCGAAGTGAAATTCGCGCCTCTTCCTCTTTTAAGAGAGTATATAAATTTATTTGTTTAATTTCTCTCTCTCTCTTTTTCTTTATTTTTTATTTATTTTCTTTCTTTTTTAATTAATTAATTATACGCAATTAATCTCGCGAAGCTATGACGATTTCGATGATAACAAGGAGAAAACAAATGTTCTTTTTCTACGAAAATAACAAGTAAGAAATACAAATAAAAAAAAAGACGATTTCCACGACAAATTTCGTTGTTAAAAGAAATAAAAAAATTTACAAAGATTTTAAAGAGTATTGAAAATTTTACAAAAGTTTCGAAGCTTCGATACCATTTCCTTTCTCTCTTCTCTCTCTCTCTCTCTCTCTTTCTCTCTTTCTCTCGCTTTTTTTCTCTCTCTCTCTTTGTCTCTCTTTTTTTCTTCTTCAATAGAACACGAAAATCGTGGTATCAACGACCGTGAAAAAAAAAAAAAATATTCTTAGGCCACAAAGACGTAATCACGGTACGTCTTAAAATAAAATAAATAAATGTTTTTCTGACCTCGTTTTCGACGTATGCATGTATGTAAATAATAATACTAATAACAATAATAATAATAATAATGATGGTAATAATAATAATAATATTAATAATAATAATAATAATAATAATAATAATAAAAATAGTAATAATAATAATAATAATAATAATAATAATAATAATAATAATAATAATAATAATAATAACGAAGAAATAACACTTTGAAGAATAAATGAGAAATTCTACAAAAACGACGACAAAAAATACACAATTTCAATTTCAATTGAAAGAAAAAAGAAAAAAGAAACAAAAAGAAAAAATACAAGTTAATAGAAGAAATACAAGTTAAATATTACTCTATTATAATATTACGAGCTCCATTACTACTTTGAATACTTCGTATTTTTTTTTTTTTTTACTCTTTTTTTGGAGATTTTTTTTTGCGTTTTATTGATTTTTTTTTATTTTTTTTTTATTTTTTTTTATTTTTTTTTCCCCATTAATATTATACTAAAATGAAGACAGTAGGTATATAGAATAGTATCCTCAACGATTCGTCAAACAAAGTAAGCGTTACTATTTTCAGCGTATTTATACCGACCGATCGATATTGTAAAATTGGTAACTTCTAAATCATTTCGATAATTTTTCCGTCCATACAGATGTGTGTGTGTATGTTTGTGTGTGTGTGTGTGTATGTATGTATGTATGTGTATGTGTATGCACGTATGTGTGGAGATGTACAGATGGTACAAACTACTTGTCTCGAAGAAGTCTATATAACCGCGTAATTATAACAATACATGTTTTCTTTTTTTTTTCTTTTTTTTTTTCTTTTTACGCGTAATCATAACAATACATTTTTTTACAACTCCTTTATTTCATTTTCTTTTTTTCTTTTTTTTGTTTTTTTTTTGTTTTGACGCGATAAGTATCCTTCAGTAAGTAAGATCAAAAAATGTTCTCATCGTGCGCGTGCATATCAGAGACGAAAATAAAAGGAAGTAGGTACAAAAATCACTTCGGCTTTTGGAAAAATATCTATCGGATAAATGACAGTCCGCGCGACTTAAATGCCGTTATTTTTTTTTTTATTTTTTTTTTTGTTTTTTTTTTTTAAATGTTTTTTGTTTGTTTTTTTTTTTTTTGTTAAATATTATTTTTTACATCCTTCACAAGGATCTCACAAAATCAACAAATTATTATGCTCACGTGCAGGTACGTATATATATACATGTATATATATATATGTGTATATATATATGAATAATTGTTAACTGATTATAAATAAAAATTCATTGCTTTAAGTAGTGTGTAAAGGTAAAAGTTACACATGCATCTTTTTTTATTTTTTTTTTTTTTTTTTTTTCGTTTTTACCATGACATACACTCGACACGTCGCCATAAGTTCTTTAATCCAATTAATTTATACAATTTAGTCGTATCTTATTCCCTTATTTGCGATAAAGATTGTATTTTACTTTTAATTTTATTTCTTATGTCATGTCGAAGAATGCAGTCTTCTTTCACATTGAGCAAACATTTGTGATTTGATAAAGATATATAATTGGAAAGAATCGTGTGGATTGTTCATAACTAAGTGTTAATGATCTTATTCGGTTTTATCATATACCTTCTATATACCGATTACATCAGGCTTATTAATTTGGGCAATACTCTTTATATGTTCCCACCGGTAGGATAAAAGGGAAATGCTCCAAACTGGAAGTTCACCGGAGTCTTTGGTGAAGCACAAGTATACAGAAAATCATCAGACTGTAATTGCGTCCTGTTTAAATTTGGTTCGGATGCAGATCTTGTGATTTTGGGTAAACCACGCAGAAGACCCTCCAGGCTTACTAAGATCTGCCGGAATATTGGTCGATCGTCCCTCGAAAATTTAATACAGTCTTCTGTTAATCTCTTCAATGCTTTTGGAGTATCAGAACGCAGCTTGTTCAAATCGGGACGTAAATATCCACGTCCCACCATGAACAGTATTTGATCCTTATTATTTATATTCGAGTACGGTAACTGACCGGCTAGCAGTTCAAACAAAACTACACCAAAGGCATAAACATCAGATTGGAAGCTATATGGATTTTCCTCTTGCATTCTAATAACTTCAGGTGCCATCCAAAGAATAGATCCAGTTGGTTGATGAAATTGTTGAGATCCTGACCATCTTGTTTTTGCAGTGGCAAGACCAAAATCACCAATCTTAACAGTAAGGTCATCGTGCAGAAATATATTGTTGCTCTTTAAATCTCTATGGATAATATTCTTAGCATGTAAATAATCCATGCCTTGTGCAGTTTGTCTGCCAATTTCTATTAGAGTTAATAATTCGAATTTTGATTCGAATACATGCAGATGTTTATATAAAGATGAACCCTCACACCATTGCGTTACAATAGCAAGCTGTGGTTTACTAACGCATCCCATAAATAACAGAATATTTACATGTCGTGTCTTTCTTAAAACAGCCACTTCATTTTTAAATGCTTGTAACTGTGCTGTGGTCGGTATCTTCACATTCAAAGTTTTCACTGCTACAGGTCCATGCCAGTGAGCTTTGTAAACAGTACCAAAGGATCCTGAGCCAATGCGTGCTCCTACCAAGATTTCATCGGCTGGAATTTCCCAGTCTTCTATAGACTCTCTTGGAGCTAAAAGATTTTTCGAAGATTCATCAGCCGATCGTGCTCTTGGACGTTTTGGTCTCAAAGTACTGGTTGGACTAGCTTGCGTCGATTGACTATGCTTAGTAGGACTACTACCAGGTGAGACAGAACACTGGGTAGTACCTATAGGTCGACCTAAACTCTGGGACCTACTATATTCATCCAGATTAGCTGGTTCACCTCCAGATCTAACCATGTTGAAACAAACATTCGGTGCAGAACTGGAACGATCCTGTTGTCCTAAGGAACGTGGATGTCTCTGATTTCTAGACGGTGCTAAAGAAGGTGACATACTTCGGCTCAAGCCATAGCCAGATGGCAGTTGCAAAATTCCAGCTGTTGTTTCAGGATTGTGTGCCAGTAACGCTTGATAATAAGCATCTTGCATACGCACTTGGTGGCACAGAGCAGGTACACTGCCAGCACACCTCTGATGAAAGCGATAATTGCATGTCCTACAATAGAAACCCTGAAAGAGTAATTTTCTACAGCACTCACAAAATGCCAAGGAAAAGAAAGTCTTTCGCACAAAATTATGTGATATTGAAGTAGTTATAGGAAACTTATCCAAAATCTCAACTGATATCTCATCGCAGTCGAGTAAAGAGATGTCTGCATCCCAAGAAGTCAAATACTTGGATTTATCTACCCCAAGTATATAGACGGCACACATTTCTGTGGTTAGATTCCTCAACTTCATCGCCTTGGCTAAAGCATCCCTCAAAGAGAGTCCTTCGCGCACTTGAACACTCGTACGCTGTTTGTTGGGCAAATAGGCCCTGAGCAAAGATTTCATAAGCGTCCTAGGATACCTATTGATAGCATTAGTGTCTCGAGAATCATTCTCAGACATGGATACCCCAATAGATGTTTTGCCTGCATTCAATAACTCATTGAGCTTCTGTTCCTTGGACTCCAAATCGTGCAACTTACTGGTGAGCTCTTGATACTCATTTAGATATATTGATGGTGGATGTTGAAAACCAGCAAAGCGGTTGTTGAGAGCATCAATATTCTGCCTTGTCACGTGTATGACGCTTTGAATGTTGCGAAGTTCATACTTCAGAGGATCCGTGTCGACATAACCGTCCTCCGAGTCGCTGAGATCACCAGAGTCAGGTCCACTGCCACGAGAGGACGACATCGCGACCAACAGGCTCGTCGAATGCCCCTTCCTCCTCTGTCGACAACGACGGGTCGACGGCAACGGCGACGACGACGGCGTCGACGAGGAGGAGGAGGGAGAAAAGGAGAAAAAGGACGAAGAGATGAAAGTTGAGGAGGCTGAAGAATAAGAAGAAGAAGAAGAAGAAGAGGAAGAGGAAAAGGAAGAGGAGGAGGAGGAGGAGGCCGACGATGAAAACGACGATAACGATGACGATGAGCCCTTTTCGATCTGGACCCTACGACACGAAGATTTCGTGTACGCGCACGCACGGATCGCCGAGTAATACCTGGTCTCGCCGATCACGGCCATCTTCTTGCTCCGTCGGGCAGCATCCTGAGCCGCCGCAACTGCGCTTCGAAGCACCTTGGTAGCCTTTCCTACCTATTCACTCACCCCTCCTTTCACCGAAAGAAAAAGAGAAAACTAGAGATGGAAAGAGTGTAAGAGTGTAGGAGAAAAAGAGATAGAGAAAATAGGAATAGAAGGAATTTTTTGATACACGCCGTCGTCGTTACACCACCACCGCCGCGATCGCCACCGCACCTCGACGACGCACGACGCGCGTCCTCGTAGTAGCAGCAGCGGCAGCAGCAGCAGCAGCAGCAGCAGCACCACCACTACATCGAACACCACCGCCACCACCACCGTCGCCACCACCAACTCCAGCAGCTCTAGTAGCATCACCACTACTTCACCACCACCACCACTAGTGGCTATTCGCTCTTCTTCGTTATTTCTTCCTCTTCTTTTTCTTCTACTCCTACCGTTACTACGACTACTACTATTATTACTCTTCCTACTACTACTCCTACTACTACTACTACTACTACTACTACTACTACTACTATCACCACCACTACTACTACTACTACTACTACTATTTCACTACTATTCTTCTTACTTGGCCTTACGAATGGCCAATTGTAACAACGCGATACGCGTTGTCGAGCTCGCGGCATAACGCGATGTCTAAATACTCAACACCTTCCCCGTCGAGAGTTCGATAAACGAAAACAATTCTCTCCTGTTCCAGCATCAATGCAGTTAACTTTTCTCTTTCCTTTCTCTTTAATCTATTTTAACCTCTTTTTTTAGTACAAGAGTTCCGAATATCGGAGAGTCTTTTATTATACTGTCCATCGAATAACCTTCCTACTCACGGCTCTACCGAAAGAAAACTGCTTGTTGGCATGAGCGAATGCGCAATGTCTGTGTAACGTACGTGTGTCTACGTCTTTGTACATGTCTCCTCCTCTCCGGCGCGGGGATACCATTTCCAGAAACGCTGGTGCTGCCATCGACTGCGTCATTATCCCCTCCGTTCGACACGTTCGCATCGACGCGCGCACGTACGAACGTCCAATCTCCTTCCTTTTACTTCGGTCAGAGCTACGTGAATTTTGCAAAGAACGACTACTAACGGTCTATCACCGTACTTCTTACGTCGATAATTCTTCCTTCTGATCGACTAACTTTTTTTTTCAACGCAAATGAATTTAATAAAATATTTGTTGTTTTTCGAAAACTAATGATTGCATCTTTTCGTGTTTAAAGGCGATTCAAAGCGCGGGAACAATGACGTTCATTTAAACGCTATTAACACAATTTTTATATTCTATCGTTTATTACTTTTTTTTTACCTCTCTTTCTCTTTCTCTCCTAACATTAATCTATGAATAATTATATCGATAAAATTATGATCGAGGTTAAGGCTTTGCCATATCGATTTTACTCAATATTACATCGTTGAAGGTTATATCAATATTCCTTATAATTATTTCTATCGAATGATCGTCAATTATATTTATGATAATTGATTATACTTACTTGACGCAAACTTCTCGTCTTTCTTTTATATATATATATATTTTATGTATGTATATATATATATGTGTCATATAAGAGTGCATCGTGCACTTATGGACATATGTCCCTTAAAATGTATTTTAATATCGCCCATTGAATTTTCTTCGCGATGATAGTCACATTCTCGTTATAATTTATCATTTTCTCGAATGTGGGGATATTCTTTTCGCAGGACGATAATATAAGCTCAATTTTTCTGTAAACAAGGGCACTTGCATTGCGCTTTCTTGACGTCACTGCGGACGGACTTACGTCACAGCAGCATATGGTATCGTCACCTAGGTAACGGAAGTCGATTCTAATTGGTCCATTTTTCGTATCTATATACTTATGAACGTAGAAAGATAGTGAAAATTATTCTCTATCCGTCAAATCGAATATTTAGAAAATGACAAATTTAGATTTATTATTATTTTTATCTTATGCGCAGAAATACGCCCATTGCAATGCAATATAATATATGTATGTTTTTATATGACTACTCTCGTAACTCTAAAGTCCAAGGTCATCGTCCGATACCGTATTTCATATTAAATCTGTACATTCGATTTATTATTGATAACACAGCCAAAAAGAAATGTCGAACATTGTTGCTGGAAAACTCGCCTTTGTTACTGGTTAGTTACAAAAATTACAATGCACCGTTGATAAGATTAATGTTATAATTATATTGATTTTGTTTGATCTTAATATTTTAGGAGCTGGAAGTGGTATAGGTAGAGAAACATGTCGAGTATTAGCTCGAGAAGGTGCAAAAGTTATCGCTGTCGATCAAAACATTCAAGCGGCTGAAGAAACAATAAATATTATAAAAGGTATATATATATATATATATATATATATATATATATGTATATTTCAAAATAAATATATGATCTTTTTTTTTGTCCATATTAATTCTATATTTGATTGTAGGAACTGATCATGTTGCATTAAATGTAAATGTTACTAATCCAAATAGTATAGTACAAGCCTTTAAACATATTGTAAATCAATTCTCAATTTCACCCACAATTATTGTTAATTCAGCAGGAATTACAAGAGATAATTTTTTGTTAAATCTCAGTGAAACTGATTTTGACAATGTCATGAATGTTAATTTAAAGGGTACATTTCTTGTTATGCAAAGTGCAGTAAAAGCTATGATAGAGAGTGGTACAACGGAAGGAAGTTCTATTATTAATGTTAGTTCTATTATCGGTAAACTTGGAAACATAGGACAGGGTAATTACAGTGCCTCAAAAGCTGGAGTTGAAGCACTAACTAAAACAGCCTCTATGGAATTTGGAAAGTAAGTTACATTATTTTTATCTAATTTTATCATAGCATATTAAGTATAAATTGAGGATTATTGTAGATTAGGAATACGCGTTAATGCGGTCTTGCCAGGATTTATAAATACTCCAATGACTGCTACAGTTCCTGATAATGTAAAAAATATATTTATTAAAAGGATACCTTTGGAGAGAATGGGTAAACCAAGTGAAGTTGCAGAAGTCATTGCATTTTTAGCTTCAAATAAGAGTTCCTATGTTAATGGTGCTTCTATTGAAGTTACAGGAGGACTGCATTAAATTGTATATAGGAGAGCATTAAGTTGTATATACTTAATTTACATATGTTGTATTTTTTTTCTACAGTTTTTATATTATGTAAATATGTATAAATGAAAGGGTTTTTAAAATGACAATAATCCTGTATAAATACAAAACAATATATATATATATGTATATACATATATATATATATATATATATATATATATATATATATATATATATATTTTATTCATTATTATTTCATAAATATTATTTCAAAAATATATATATATATATATATATTTTTATTCATTATTTCTTTTTTCCTTTCAATCGTTTTGCATGTTTGTGTGCCTTATAATGTCGTTTATTCTTTTCCTCAATTATTTCTTTATATTTGCGTTTATTATATTTTGCAAATTCAGCATCTGCCATAAGTTCTTCCACAATTGTATTTTTTCGTTCTTTCTTAGTAAGACGACTAGAATAATAATCTATAGGGGCATCTACTACCTTACCAATTTGGAAATATTTAGGTAAAACTTTCAGATCATTCTTTTTGTAAAAGTGTTTTGGATCTAATACTGATCTCATTTGAATTATCTCAAGATCATGTTTAATCTCGTCAGTAAGTTCAGTGGCTGGTAAATTAAACCAATCCCTGCCTTTATTCTTTTCTCGTTCTGCTATTTTCTTTACACGCAAACGCCTTGTACTTTCTATAAAGGATGGTACATTTTCACAACGTTCGAATCCAGGTTTTATAGCACTTTTCTTAAGTATTTGATCTATTGGTACTATTTCTTTAGTTAACATTGTTACATTGGTAATATTCTGTGGCAGTTTCTTTTTTATATTTTTCCAACCCATATCTTTCTCAAACTGATCTAAATCAATATCATTGTGAGAAAATTTCTTTATTTTAGTTTCATTACTTTCAGCCTGTTGTAAGAAATCTTTGGCAGACATCCATGAAGCTCCTTTTTCTGTAAAATATATTTTAAGATATAATCAGATTATAACTTTTATAGAATGAAGAACAAAGTAAAAAATATATCATCCATATATACATAGTAGTAATTCATTAATATACGATTTAATACAACATTTGTTTATTTATTATAAATTCTAACCTAATCGTATAGAAAACAAATGTCATAATTCAACAGAATTACCATTATTATCAAGTTTATTTAAAATGTTATCGTCAGTTTTTGTTAATCGATTTTTGTTCTTTAAATCTGTTCTTCCTTTTGTGTCTATTATTATTTCCATTTTTATAAATCAATCGCACAAATTCTTTATATATCTATCACTTAATAGGTAGTTACTCAATGGCAGCTTATACTAACTTCAACGCAAAATGTATCACGTGATTACTAGAAATCCGTTGATTGGTTCCAAAAAAGAAAGATTTGATTGGTCGATTTATAAGCATGACTGTACCTATCAGAAGGATATTACAAAATAATTGGTATATGACCTGTGGCGCGAAAATTCAAATCACGTAATAGTATATTGAATATCGAACTTCGCTCCCTTAACAAATTCTAAAATAAATATTTGCAATACTTGGCAAAGGAAATATTTTAAAACTTTCCTTTTTTAGAAACTTTGATATGTTTATGTCTCATTAGTATGTGAAATACGTTCGCTTGAAATATTTATTTTTATTACATTCAATTTATCTGGAACATAATTTGTTACTTTAATACATATATATATATATAAATACATTTATAATTATATTAGCATAATATAATTAATAGATATAAATTCTTTCTATTTTGATTATTATATTTATGAAAAAATGTAAATGTATGCCGATTAGAAAATATCTACACATTATAGAAACATCATTAATCGCAGACAGTCTGATCTACTAACGCATAAATATTAACGATTAAATCGTGAATACTTCGTGAATACACGTCAAATTGCGTGATACGTAGAAATAATAAGCGTTACGTTTTACAGACGTAACAGTCTAATGTCTACCTATATTATGAATCAAACGTAATGGCGTTACGTAAATAATACCACAAAATGAAATGTGCTTTCTTCTCCAATAAAATAAGTGTTCTCAATCGGATGTTTTATTGTAATTCAAAATATTTCTTACGATAAATTCAATAATATTATATTCATTTCGTTTCTTTGCAAGTTTTTTTTTAATCGATTTTTAAACATTTAAAACAAAATGCGAATTTATTAGGGCAAAAAATAAACGATAGTTTTTGTAAATTATTAATTTTTGTAAAATTTGTAAAATAAATTCGATTTTAAAAATTTTCGTTATTTCGACTTATTTATTGGAACATAGAGATTAGATATTTCCATAATTTAAATCTGAAATGTAAAATGCGTAGAAAATAGAAAGAAGTCATTAAAGTTAGAATTAAGAATTCATTAAGATAAATTTTCTTAGAAGGACAAGAAACAAATGGAGAAAGATTATTGTTTAGAAGTAGCTCGTTAACTAATATAATTAAGTTTTTATCGCACAATGGAGAAGATGCTGTCTTATTTATGTTTTCCACAATGACTTTTAACTACTTCCGTTAGAACAATGTGTTAGACATATGGATTGTTAATTACCATAAACATGTAAACTCCATCTAAAAATATTAGCATTATTAATTATTATAGTAACGTAATAAATAAATTGATAGATCAGTTAGCTAACTTTATTATGTCATAAACTAATAAATGAGCTTTTAGACAAATAAAATTGTTACCTAATAAATCGTCAACGCAAATGATTAACTAAATGAGAACCTCGAACGTACCAAAACATTTCCTGTAGAAAGCGAGAAAGTGGTTTATCCAAAGACTTGCAATAAGATCAACTCGACTTGGACGAGTTGCAGCGATGCATTCTAACGCATGAGCTAACTTGTACTCTGACGTAATCCTATATATGTACATATATTATTGTATATATTGATCATATTACAAGACTAATACGATAGATTTCTTTTTCTATTGAAATTATATTAACAAACAATATCAACCCTGAATAAACGATGAATCAGGCGGAAAATTAGGAATTTTCTAGAGCATTATTTAATCACCGTTATATTGTTCCTATTTATTTCATTGTAATCGATCGAATTTAATGAAAATATAAAAACCATTTACTCGATATTTATTAGCGAATATTTACATTATTTGTTCATTACCTCAATCCAAGGAAAACCACTTTGTTATCAGCAATTTTTATCAATTTTTATTCATTCTTCGTTTGCATATATTTATTCAACATGTGGTTTTCTTATAATGCCAGTTTGCGGTCTAAAAAAGAATGAAATAAGAATTGAATTAAAAAAAAAAAAAAAAAAAAAAAAAAAAAGAAGGAAAAAAAAGAAGTAATTAATAGTTGTGTGACGATAGAATATCCAAGTACTAAATACAAAAAATAATTTCTTGTAGTCTTTTTCGTTTGTTTTTTTTCTTTCTCTCTTTCTTTTTTTTTTTTTTTCGTTTTTATCTATACGACTATCCAAGCACAATTTGAATTTGATTAGCACGTACATGAATCACGTTAAAGACTAAAGGGCTCGTAATAAAAAAATAACATGTTTCAGCTTCGCTGAATAACCGAATGACGTAGCTAGCAATAAGTATTTATCAACGAGTGGAAGAGAAAGAGAGATGATCGTTTAATAGTATGAAATTTCTTAGTGAAACTTTTAGTTTTCGTCGTTTAGCTATCAACCAACTCATACGAAACTCTTCCCATGATTTCGCAAATGTTACTCCGCAAAAAGAATCTTTTCCTCGGTTCCTCGTCTCTTTTCCTTTCTTAAAACTATTACATAAACTATTCTATATCAAAAATCTACCCTGATATAATCAACAAGAAAGTAGAAAAATCACAATGCGACGTATATTTTGTCATCCAGGATGCACTTTCAAAACTTTCCTCATTCTTCCGCTTCGAGTGATTTTCTCCAAAAAAAACAAAAACCGGAACATCATCGTTGAAAAAGAGAATGTCGAATTGAAAAAGATTGTTAAGTAACGATTCCATAGATGATCTTGGATGTTATACATGATCGTGACTTGCGAACACAATGAGAGAGTTAGAATTCATCGTTCAGATGAAAGAAAATAAGGAGGAAATGAATTAATATAACGATATAATCGTAATACTGCGATTATTGATTCGACACGTTAACGTTGTAATCTCCAATTTGCAAATATTGTAAAATCATTTATTTAATATCGAAATTTAGAAATCGCCGTCTTGACATTGTAATTGGTATCGTAAGAATATTTAAAAAAAAAAAGAAAAGAAAAGAAAAGAAAAAAGAGAAAAAAAGAAAAGAAAAGAAAAGAAAAGAAAAGATAATTAATACGATTAACGTCCATTATGAACTCATAAAATAAAACAATTTTTTGCACATTCTAGAAAGCCTTGACGTGTTAATCGATCAACAACTTCTTGTTGTCTTACTACTTTACTACGGGGAGATTCCTCCCTACCACCTTATTATACCGCCGCGCTTTGACTCGACGAAAAGCATTTCTCTACGGGCGAGCAACCGGACGATACAGTTGATCCATGGTCATCGACCAAAAAGGAACCAGTTTTAGAAACGATTGACACTAGTCCGCATCATACGATATATTACAAAGAACTACGTGATCCTATCAAATCTTCAAGATAAAAAATCATTTAAAGTTAGTTTCGGATTTCGCTGGAATTATGATTCGAAGGAAGTACATCAGTCAGGAATTTATATTTTCAACAGACCAAAAAATGTTATCGCAAAGATTCACTTGACTGGAAGTATTGAAATTTTGAAGCAAATCAGATTATTTATTTTCTTCTCGTGCTCGAAGTTCGAAGAGTATTTTTTTCTTTTTTGTCCTAAAAAGAAAAAAGAAAGAGAGAACAAAAAAACAAAACAAAAAAGAAAAAAAGAAAAAAAAACAAAAAAGGAAACGAACGATTGATAATCTTAATTACAGTGTATTGAGAGAAAAAGACTTTTGTGATAAACAATTATGACGATTAGTATAATCAAGTGATCTCTTAATAAATTATTTCTTTATTGTTTATATAATTGTCCCAAATATTATTATATCGTTGTAAAGTGAGAAAAATGAAGAATCGTTTAAGACTTTTCATCATTTTTTACGCGTTTCTTGAAATTTCTACTGAGAAATCGATAGATTATGCAGATACTGTGATTCTGAGTCATCGGACCAGAAGTTTACCAGATATTGTGGAGAATTCACATACAAATTGGACGACTTTGACCGAGGCTTTGGACGTTTTCAGTGGTCGTAATCTCATTAAAAATTGGGTCGAAGGAAGATACCCGGTTGGTGAACAATGTAGCAAAGATATCAGCAGGTATATCGAGGGTTTGAAGAGGCAGGAATTATGGGCACTCAAGGGTGAGCTTTATATACCTAAACAAAAATAATTAAACTGAAAACTATTCTTTCGTTTTTTTTTCTCAATAATATTTTTGTTTTACCTTTACCATTTCTCTCTCGCTGTCTCTCTCTCTCTTTCTCTCTCTTTTTCTCTATTCATACCATTTCTATAATGAATCCATGTAAATATACACTTATATGTAGATTTGATGTTTTTTTCCTTTTAACAAACCCGCAGATTTTTTTTTATTTGATATGCGCTATTATGAAACTGTTTGATACTTGCTTACATCTACCAAAAATTTATTATACAAATAGAAAGTTAATGAGCGACTCATGTTAACAATAATTATTAAGCCGTAGACAATTGTCCATTAGTGATACTATGTGAGAATAATTTTTCGAAGAATAAATTCTTTTCATTATCTATTTTATTGCGATTGCGAGACTCCTTTATTAATTGATTTAGTAGATAGACTATACAGAACGTTCATCTATTATCTTGATTATTTTCAACTCACGAAAAATTCATTGAAATATATTCAAAAAAAGAAAAAAAAAAAAAAGAAAAAAAAAAGAAAAGAAAAGAAAAAAACTGATTAGAATATATTAACCATAAAACTGGTTTCTTTCTTTATAAAATATTGAATTTAATTATGTTATTTAAAATTTTTCTAGTTATACCATTAATACTCAAAGATATTCTGTCTGATCAATTATAAATCTTTACTACTTAGATTTAGATAAATATATATCTTTAGGCGTGACGTTTTTCATTCTTTTTTTTTTTTTTATCACTTTTAAAAATTGAAAGTATTTCTTAATCATCACGTTTCATATATCTGAATCATTGTTCAAAATAATCTTGAAACAACAAAGAATTCCAATATTCGAGAACAAATAAGAATAAGAGACAATAGTTTTTTTAAATTCATGCATGAATGCATGAATATTATTTCGCCCACTTAATCTCTACGTA